TCTAATAAAGCAAAAACAAAAGCAAAAGTTTATTAGAATCCAGTGATGTTAAGCTGAAATTACTGCTTAGGAAGTGCCACAAGTGCAGATCTAAAATGCAGCAATCTATAGAAAAAGCTTGTGCTTTATTGAGCTACAGTGACAACTAGAACTAGTGTGTTAGACAAATACACGCATACATCAATGCTTTACATATAGATACGTATGTGTGCATGACAAAGTATATAAATATATGACAGCATATACACATCATAGTGTGCAATAAAAGCATATATTTATACATACATTAGATTCTAAATAGAAACCCCAGGGAAAAAAAAATACATCATTGTCTTTTAACCATATATTCATATACTTCAAATATTGTTTTGGAAAGGGTTTTTTCGGGTTTTTAGGATCTATAACCATGAGAGAAAAGTAAAATATGTGAGGAAAAAAAACAAAAGACAAAGTTAAGCATATGTTTACAACATCTTTGTTCACACATCTGAACATAGTCCTTATCCCGAGATCCATTCAGTCTCCAGCACTGGATGGTCTGTGGCATCTCACAGCTTAGTACTGACTTATCTTGTACAATATGTTGGATCTCTAGCACTGTGCATAGTCTGTGTTATCTCATGATCTAGTATTACCTTATGTAATATCGTCAGTCCCTAGCACTGTATGGTTTGTGGTATCTCACAGTCTAGTAATACCTTAAGCCGGCCATAGACGGCTCGAATCATCGATCAATCAACTTAGGTACAATCAGCTTGCCAGATTTTACATGCGATTATTGCTAGCGACTGTTAGAACCTCTAGCAATAATGACTGTGTTCTCCAGCGGGGGCAGGGGCCAGCTCAACCCATGCCTCCAACACTGCCCTTGAATGCAAGGCTCCAGGGGGGGAGGGCTTGGGGAGTCTGTGTTGATGGGTGATTTGAGCGAATTTCTTTCCTGCAACCTGCCATCTATGGCCTGCCTTATTTTGTGAGCTATATTCAGCCTCTAGCACTATCAGTCTGTGTAGACTTATAATTAAGTACTGACTTATCTTGACCAATATTATTTGCTCTGTGTCTCTCACAATCTAGTGTTACCTTACCTTATGCAATATCTTCAAGTCTCTAGCACTGTGGATGGTCAGCGGTGTTTCACAGGCTAGTACTACCTTATCCCATGTTACTCCTTCAAGTGGTTGTAAAGGCTTCAGGGTTACCACCTTAATGCATTCTATAATTTAAAAAAAAAAAAAAAATCCTTTTATGTGCATCCCCCCCCTTGCCAAGATACTTACCTGAGCGCTCTCTCTTCAGTGGCTTCAGGCTGTTGTTGCCAATCAAATTCAGAGACAGGGGATGGGGGGAAGCAGGGGCGCACGCACGCACGCACGCACACACACACACACACACACACGCACACACACACACACACAGTGCAGCTCAGGATTGAGTTCGCACAAGTGCCAACATAGGAAGAGGAGTCATCCAGACAACCGAAGGGGATCCCCAGAAAAGGAGGATTGAGGTCGCTCTGTGCAAAACCATTGCACAGAGCATGTAAGTATAACACTTGTTTTTTGTATTTTTTTAAAGAACCTTTACAATCACTTTGAGTCTATCGTTGTGGGCGGTTTATGTTACCTCTCAAGTTGCTACTACCTTATTCTGTATGATCCATTCAGCATCTAGCGCTGAGAATGGCTTGTGCTTCTTTAGGCTGGTATTGCATCACCCTAGGTTCACATCTAAGAGTTTTCCGCAGCGTTTTGCAGAAAAAACACGCTACAGTCCATTTAACATGATTTCCAGTGCCTTTTTTTGGAAAGGGTCATAGACTTTTTTGAATGCAAAAAAAGTTGAGTTTTTGGTTCTATAGACTTCAATGGAAACTCTGCAGAAAAGCATGTAGTGTGTTTTGCTGTGTTTTTGTTGAGTTTTGCTTTTGAAATCTGCCTAGCAACAGGAAAAAAAAATAAAGAAACCTACATCAAAAACGCGGCAAAAACGTGTCAAAACAGCAGGTGCAAAAACGCAAAACACAATGCAGAAACGCAAAATGCATAGGTGTGAACCTAGCCTTATGCTGTGTTATACATTCTACCTCTAGCACTATGGATGGTTTAGGTTCTGCACTATCTTGTGTGATAAATTAAAAGTCTTATGTTGTGGAGAGCTTGTGATGTTTCACATGCTGGTACAATACAAGTGATCCTCTATTAGTTACTATACAATAAGTGTGGATCTCATTGTCTGTAGCACATGACCAGTGTCTGATTCATCACACCGTTTGCTATGCACTGATATAGGCACAGGTTAGTTTGTCTAATTAATATGTAGAAAATGTTGATGAAAAAGGATGCAATTATTTTAATATCATCCTGTGCAGCTCAGCCACACCGACTGTTCTTTAAGGAAACTTCAATTCAAGAGGCCCATGATATAATGGTTTCCATATAGCTCTAATGTTCATTAATTTTCAAATAAAGCAATTTACATTCTTCTGCCTTAGACCAATTTGGTATATACCAAAATCATTGTAACCTGTGCATGCTTTAACCTATATTTAGGTTGTGTAATGTGCAAAAGAAAAAACAAATTAAAAAGATATGACAGAATTTAAAATAAAGGTTTAGCACTGCTTCTTACAAACAAAACTGGATGTATGAAATGTTGGCCTTCAGCTGTAAAAGCCATTTTTAGCAAATCAGAGTGTTGCTAATGAAAGGTTACCATACCAACATCTGCTTCTAAAACAGCTGCATGTGGTGTGAGTGAATGGACCACGACCCCTGGTTCACATATCCGCATTCCTGCGGGCCGCGTTTTGCACGGACACGAGAGCCCATTCATTTGAATGGGCTCCCGTACCCCGGGACAGGCAGGGAAGAAGCCCATGCGGTTGCGATTTACAGTGCGGGCGACGTGCCGTTAGAATTAATGGCACCCGCCCACAGGTCCGCATTCTTCTGTGTGGGTGGTACGGCAGCACGGATTTTTGTGCGGACCCGCAGCGACATCACCCACACATATGTGAACCTAACCTAAGTCAAGTGGCCAGAGAACGAGCAGAAATATTTATTACACTGGCAAATTCACTAAGGCAATTTTGCCATTTCTGAAGAACTCTGTGCAAAAATGGCGCTGTATCACTGTGCAAGCTACATTTTTGGTGGGTTTTAGCCCATTGCCATCTACACACAGGCCTCCATTTGATGGCATGGTAAAAAAAAAAAAAAAAAAAAAAAAAAAAAAAAAAGCACACACTTGTAGTATAACTTTCACACACTATTTAATAATACATAAAAGATATGTTAAAAAATCGTGCAAATAGCACTGATGTGAAGCTGCACTCTACATGGTAGCAGAAGCTAACATTCATTAGTCTTAAAACATTCATTTTGGCATGCTACCATGAATTCGAGAACATCTCTTAAAGCCCCATCAACCTAAAAATACCTTTATTTTGTGTTGTAGTTTGCAAGCTAAATCACATTTTAACTACTAATTCCATTGATCATGCCAACTATAAAAATGAATGATGGGGTCACAGTCTCCTGAGGGATTTGCCATTATGTAAAAAGCTACTGAATCCAGCAGTGAGCATGTGACCTCAGGTAACCTTGAGCTCCAGGCAAATATACAGTACATGAATACCGGATATTCCATATACATCTCATTTTTGCATAAGCACTTCTATATTTATTTTATCAGACTTCTGTAATTCTCTGCACAACAGACTGCATACTGACTGGTTAGCAGTGTGAACCAGGCAAGGCTCTATTTGCTCTGTTCACAGTTATTAACCTAATGAAGAGCTCATGCCTATGCTTTTCACATTAGCAAGCTTTTTGCTGTCCAGTCACAAGATGGCTGGATCCTGGAGGAGATTCTATTATAAAACCGTATTTTTTGTCTGCATAAAGGTTGAGGACTCGGCTGTTTTGTCTGGCAGGGATGCCTAGAGCACAAGGCTGGACAAGAATTACAAGTACTTTGACAAGTAAAACAATCCACATATATGTGTTTCAGCTGTGGATTTAGCCATTTGCCTGATATTCAATTTTAAGGCCTCGGGGGAAAAGAGTGAAAACTGCAAGAAACTATCAACACACCAGTATCTAAGAGATAGAAGAGGCTGAATGGTGATTCAACACTCATTAACAAACCTATTCTGAATAACTTTAGGATGAATTTCTCTTTTTAAGGCTAGAAGGACAGGCAATTTAAGCACTGAATGGCTTCTCAGTTAAAATGTGTTATCTGTGCTTAAATTGACCAGTACATTGTCACTTCTCCAATGTTATGGTCCAACAAATTTAAAAACAATAAAATGGTTTACTTGCAATATGTTTTGTAAGAAAACGAAGCAAAACTGTGAGAGTGATAAAAGGCAACTATCGAACAGTTAATTAGGCACCATCCCTGGACTCAGGAAGAACAGAGAAATTATGTATCGTATTCACTGCTAAGTCGAAAACACAAATTAATGAGAAGCAGATGGTCACAGAAGCCCATTGGCTTCTTTTTTAATGACACTAGTAAGTTTCTATGGGCAACTGCTGTAATTTTACTTAAGCTTTCTTGACTCCAGCATATGTATATCAGCTGCAGGGGTTCCAAGTTTGTCAGAGACTAAAGTGACAACACTTATTTGTGGCCTAGCTTGGTATGTGTGGGAGTCTTGATATTACAGGAAGACATGTTGAGTTTTCCTTCTATATTTAACTGCCCCTTAATCCAGATGCTGACAGTTGCTGTTTTACTGCACATAAATATTAAAAGGTAAACACTTTTTTTTTTTTTTACAAAACTGAGCACTGACAGAACTAAAAATAAATAAAAATACTACATATTAGAAACACCTTGTGTTACCTCTACAAGTGCAGATATCAATAGTATTATTTGTATTATTTTTTTGAATTACAAAAATAGATTAGTAAGAACATGTTTGTTGATATTAAATGCAAATAAAAGGTTACTATTGCGAGGACTGCAGCTGACAAGGTCACACTTACCTGATTTTTGGCTTGCTGCATCTTATCTCGGTGTTGATGTGCTTCTCTGTTTGATGAAAGAGCTGGATCTGCATGAATGGAGCCAACTGGTGTGGGCTGTTGTGAGGGAAAAGAATATGTTTTAACATACAAGATAGAGATGCAGTACAGCAAAAAGTATTTAATACATCTGCCACTCCTCAATGTTTCCCATGTCTACATCTCTACAGATCTGAGCAACCTACGTATGCTGAAATGAGCTGCAGGACAGAACAATGCAATGTATTCACCACAGAGTAACACATTCTGACATTCTACTGGACTTTAAGGCATTTCTTTGGGCTCAAACATACAAATAACAAATTGCGTTACTACACATGGACATCCAAAGCTGACGTGAAGGTGTCAAGTATCTAATGTCAGATTATGGTACTAGAAAAATTTAACTTTGCACAGACAAGCATTTTAATCAACTGATCAGTATTTTCTGAGGCGGCATTCTGGCCGCATACCTTGTACTCTGACTGATTATATATATATATTTTTTTATCTATTGTATTATTCTATATTTTATCCTTTAAAAAAAAAATAAAAAAAAATTGGTCACTGGCAATACCACACACACGGTGAACTAACAAGATACAAATCACAAACCAGCCCACAACACCCTATAAAAGTCACATAGCATCTTTCCGCATGTTTGCGTTGAGATAAATGGAAGAGGGAAATAGAAAAAAAATTGAAAAAAACACACACATTGCACCTGGAGTGTAACTAAAAAATTTAAAAATAAAGGGGGGGGGGGGGCAAAATCATCCGCTGAAGAGGGTTCCTCTTGACCAAACATTAAACTTATTCCTTCTGCCCCTATGGCCAGGTTGTATGTATAGTGATAGAGAGGAAGATTAGCATTATTAAGACATTTCCAGAAAGCAAGAAAGGGGGATGTCGGTTTCTTCCAATGTATGGCAACTGATGTTTAAGCATTAAAAAGGGACATTCCTAGAAATGTTCTCTCTGCTACAATAGGGGCCAGGTCGTTCACCAAATCCAAAAGGCACACCATCGGCTCCAGTGGGAGGTGAGTCTGAGGCACATTATTATTATTATACAGGACTTATATAGCGCCGACAGTTTGCTCAGTGCTTTACATTATGGAGGGAGACAGTACAGTAACAATACAGTTCAATACAAGAGGGCCCTGCTCCTTGGAGCTTACACCATATATTACACCCACCACTCCAGACAAAAGCCAAGAGAAAGACGGACAAGTCCAGAAGACATGAAAAAAAGTCATGATCAGCATACAGAAGCCAAAACAGGTATTCGCTTATGCAACATATGCAGAGTTAATTAGGCTCTGTGCAGAAGCTTGCATTGAATGAGCCTATCTCGAGCTGAGACCAGGTGTTTAAAGTGTACATCCCAGAAATCTGACCAGTTTCCATCGTCTAATTCAGGTATACCCCTCCGCCATTTTTCCCCAGAGACTGGAGAGGTCAGAGAGGCTAGCAAAAACATATTGGTAGAGAGACAAAGCTGGTTTCAACAGCTGGTCTAAACGTACTAGGGTTTCTAAAAGGGACCAACCTAAAAGATACATGTCGATGCAAGAACTGACTATGAAAGGCATGAGAAAGTTGCATATACAGAAACTGGTAATAACTCAGGATACTGAACTGGTGCCAAAAGCTATCAAAACAAGAGCAATTCCCCATTAACCACTACATGTGCTGACTGCACTATATTTGACAGCAGCATGGTTCCTGACCATGTGATCACTAGGATGTTATAATGATCACATGGCAAGGTAACAAGTCTAACTTTTTTTTTTTTTTTTTTTTTTTTTTTTTTTTTTTTTTTTTTAAATTAGAAGCGATTCAAAGTAAAAACAGGATCTTTTTCTAGTCTCTGGAAAAAAATCCTAATTTTTTTGTTTATTGGAGGACACAGTTACTGCTTTAGATCATCATCTACTAGCAGTGCTTCAAAGGGGGAAGGCAAACTTAGGACAAAAATAGACTAACCATCTAAAAAGAAAAACGCAGGCTTGTCAAACTGCTGCCTGCAGAAATTTACAGCCAAAATTGGCATCAGCTGAAGATTCCACATCAGTCTTGTAAAATTTGGTGAACGCATGAATAGATGACCAAATGGCAGCCTTACAAACCCAAAAATCGATGATTGATGTTAAAAACTCATGATGTACTTACCAATCTTTCAGAGTGGTTTGCAGTGCTTGAAAGTATGCGCTAGGACAATACTTTGCCAGATCACGCATTAGACAGTTGCAGTAAACAGTTCAACACCCTTATGTGGGCCCTCTCCAGCAAAAACCAGGGAGTCTGACTTATACACCATAATCACCCTGACTGCATTCAAATAAAGTAAAGCAATCTCCTTAGTGTGGACCCACTCAGGACAAAGCAATGGAAGCACAATTTCTTCATTCAGGTGGAAAGCTGGTACTATCTTTGACAGAAAAGGGAATCACGGACACAACCTTATCCTTATGGATGGCCAAAAATGGAGGCTTGCAAGACAATACAACCAGTTTGTAGACGCTATGCACCAACGTAACGGATTCTAGGAACACCATTTTCTGAGATAACATTAGCAGTGGGATCTCCCTAACATCCTTGAAAAGCGTTTTTTTGAACACCAAACATATGTGTGTCCACTTGAATAAAGGTGTGAACTGGTAGTAAAGATGCCAGAAGGCACAGAAATAAGGCTGTCAACACTGACAGCTAACCTTTACCTGTGCCTAAGGCCAACTACTGCTCCTCCCTGTGCTGGATGAAAAGCTAAGAAACAGGAATTTATGGCTTCCTGAAAGATAATGGTGTGTCAGCCACTGCAGCGGGAGGATCCAAAAATGATAGGTATATTCCTGATCAACTTAATTGCTGACACCAATTCCTTCCTGGAGGCAAAGTTGATGCTGATGCTTTGTCGATCTCCAAGGGGATGGAGACCATCTTACAGCAAAGCTATGTCCACAGTCCCAGTCGTTTGCCCAAGACATTGGCTGGAAATCACCATCCAGACCCGAGGTGCTACTGGCATCTAAGTGGAACAATGTGATCTACTATTCAGCTAGCTTGTCATATGTGTCTCCCTAGAGAAAGAACTCTGCAGGCTGCTCACAAGAACACCGGACAACTGCAGTTGAATCTGCATGCACTCAATGGCTGCAACTGGGGAGGAGGAGGGTTGTCATCCAGGCTTTCAGCAAGTCAGTGACTTGCTTGAAGTAAAATAAAATAAGGTAGGATTTCCAAGAGGACTTTTCTATGCCCTCCTAGACACTAGGCTAATAACGGAGTTGTTCCACAATGTCAAGGGACTTTTGGCCACTAGCAAGGGCCACCACACTGGGCTGTGTTTTGTTTGTTAGCTGTACCTAGTATTCTATTCCTGCAGGTGGGACTATACCCAGTAAATGATGATATATAAGAGAAGCAGTGTCCTCCAATGAACAAAAGAGAAAAGTGCATTTTGTTGCCCTTTTGTATCCAATCATCAGCATACAAGAAAAAGCACAGCACGGTATATCATTACAATAGCTTATACAAGCTTGAAAAGGGTAAACATTTTAAAAGTAGGAAAATTAAAGTTATAGTCCAGATAAAATAGTTATATGGTCATGAAAGTAGACTGCTTAGCTACTATATACATACATACATACATTTGTAGTAAAGTGTATGTAAACACAATCTATTTTCTAGTGTTTGGCATCATGTCATACTGTATATAGTTTTCCTAAGCAAACCGTGTAAATTTTTTACCTGAAGATACAGCTAAAGTAACATCATTTCTTATAAGCAGAAGTGTTGTCAGTCTACCATGTGCAACTCCTTTAGCTATTGTGCTACTTGATAGACCTGATAAGCAGCTGAACGGGGAAACTACAGGAGCACATACGGCAACCTGCAACAAGAAGTGGTTGCTGAAATGTAAGCTCCACAGCCCACAGAGTTGATTGAATTGTGAAACAGCATCAACACACTGATGAGTTAATATACAACTCTGTTGAACTGGGATATTTTTATGCATTGGTATGTTAAAACACAATAACCAAACATCCTTTAATCTGAATCTACCTTAATCCATAGCAACTATATTGATCAGACTTTTCCAATGGTAGGAGAAAAAGTGCTTGTTACATGATTTCTGTACTGTTCAACCTCTCTGTGATCTAATGGGGGGGGGGTGTCTAGAAACTTGGAAAAGTTGGCCTGCATTTCAGCAGGACAAGAAAAATTCTAAAGCAAGGATAAAGACAATTAGGACAAAGAGAAACATTAATGAAAACAAGAGCCTTTTAAAAGGGTAGGCTAGTCTCCTGAGAATGCAGAATGATCATATTCAACTTAAGTCTACTCTTAACTTTGCACCAAAAATCCAACAGCATGAAGAAAACGAATAAAAATAGTATTGTCAACATTTGTCTATAGTTATTGTACTTACTAGTTGCTTCCCAGTCCAGTCATATTCATAGTCAAACATATATCCCTTTCGATCAAACAAATCTGTAAATAGTTTTCTTAAGTAGTCGTAGTCTGGTTTTTCAAAAAAAATCTAGCCTTCTTACATAGCGTAGGTATGTGGCCATTTCTTCTGCAATTTAAAAATAAGTGGTAATTGAGCTGATAGTAATGAACGGGTATATGTCTGAACAGTGAAGAGGCTTCCTAATAAAAGCAAGATAAAGGCAATTAAAACAAACATCACATAGCAAGCTGAAATATTTATTCAGCATACTTGTTTAGGGAACTTGGAGGAAGCTGAGAACAATTCAACGTACATTTGAATTAAGAATACACATTTTAAAATAATTTTTTAAACCAGAATTTAGTGTCACTTTAGCCTGCCTAGGACTTGGCACAGGAAGTACTAGGGTCCCACAACATGCAGTCAGTTAAGGAGGTGAAGAACCTTCTAAATGCCATATAAAGGGGTCCAAGAAGAATAACACATTTTGGTAAACCTGATATACCCTTTAGATAAAAACAATCTACATATAAAGGAGAAAGTGATAGTGCTGGTTTTGTTCATTCTATCTGAAAAAGCCCAATAAATTGTACTTTTTACCTGGGAAATTCTCACAAAGTACTTCTATTGGAGTTGCTCGCTTCGTATCTCCAATTTTCTGATACCTTTCTTTTAACGTGTCAGCCTACAAAACGGAAGCAAAAAAAATGTTGAGTGTGTGTATACAATTCTTTATACATACACATACATAGGTGTGCGTGTTTGTGTGTGGGGGGACACTGTATAAAAAGTAAAATATATATTGGATTAGTATTGAGAATCACAGGCATCAAAAATACAGGTGTATACTGCAGACTAACAAAATATGTACAAACCAACAGTGCAATGTGGCAAGTCTAAAAAGACAAAAAAAAAAACTTTCAGGCCTCATTCAGATCGTACATGCAGAAAAACTGATGGAAAAAAAACACTTGGAAAAAAGGACTTGCAGAAACACACATTTCCATCAGTTTTCAGATGCGTTTCAACAAGTTTTATACATGCTGCAGATTCCTGCAAAGAAAAAATCTGCACATAATACTAGTACTATCATGTGAACAGGGCACATAGAGAACAATTCTTTTTGGGTTTTTTTGTGCCCTTGCAGAACAGGTGCAGAAAAACCCACATCTCTGCACATGGTGTGACCGAGGCCTTAAGAGTCCTGAACTGGCAAGTTTGGTTCAGAAGAAGCAATTTAGAACGTATACAAGTCATTTTATTTTTTTAAACAAGATACAAATTCTTTTGCTGATAGGAGAAGCAAATTTCAAGAAAAAGACCATCCATGCTAAAAGACAATGCAACCATGCTGAAGGAGTACATAATGTAAAAGTTCACAGTGCAGGGCTTTAAACTAGTACACAGCAGATCAGGCCTATAGAGGTCAACAACTTGCAAGCATTACAGCTTCCTTTTCCAAATGAAAAATGTTCAGCTAGTAACTCAAAAAAGGCTAAAAGATAAAATCATGGGGAATCCTTGGAAATAGTACTTAAAAGGGTTACTCCTGAGTAAAAAAAATTTACCTTTAGTCCTTGCCAGGGTAGGCTCCCTCGTAGAAAATACATAAACATATGCCCTAATGCTTCTAAGTCATCTCTTCTACTTTGCTCTAAAGTTAACAAAAAGAAATGAAATGACAGTGGTCATATGCACACATATAATTTATATATTATATTAAATAAATATATATTTATATTACACACACACACACACACTCACTCACATACAGTGGATATAAAAAGTCTACACAACCCTGTTAAAATGTCAGGTTTCTGTGATGTAAAAAAATGAGACAAAGATAAATCATTTCAGAACTTTTTCCACCTTTAATGTGACCTATAAACTGTACACCTCAGTTGAACAGCAAACTGAAGTCTTTTAGGTGGAGGGAAGTAAAAATAAAAAACTAAAATAATATGGTTGCATAAGTGTGCACACCCTTAAACTAATACTTTGTTGAAGCACCTTTTGATTTTATTCCAGCACTCAGTCTTTTTGGGTATGAGTCTATCAGCATGGCATATCTTGACTTGGCAATATTTGCCCACTCTGCCTTGCAAAAACACTCCAAATCTTTCAGATTGCGAGGGCATCTCCTGTGCACAGCCCTCTTCAGATCACCCCACAGATTTTCCATCGAATTCAGATCTGGGCTCTGGCTGGGCCATTTCAAAACTTAAATAAACTTCTGGTGAAGCCATTCCTTTGTTGATTTGGATGTATGCTTTCCGTCGTTGTCATGCTGAAAGATGAAGTTCCTCTTCATGTTCTGCTTTCTAGCAGAAGTCTGAAGGTTTTGTGCCAGTATTGACTGGTATTAGGAACTGTTCATAATTCCCTCTACCTTGACTAAGGCCCCAGTTCTAGCTGAAAGAAAACAGCCCCAAAGCATGATGCTGCCACCACCATGCTTCACGGTGGGTATGGTGTTCTTTTGGTGATGTGCGGTGTCGTCTTTGCACCAACCATATCTCTCGGAATTATGGCCAAAAAGTTAAACCTTGGTTTCATCAGACCAGAACACATTTTCCCACATGCTTTTGGGAGACTTCAAATATGTTTTTGCAAAATTTAGTCGGGCTTGGATGTTTTTCTTCATAAGAAAAGGCTGACATTTTGCCACTCTACCCCATAGCCCAGACATATGAGGAATACAGGAGATTGTTGTCACATGTACCACACAGCCAGTACTTGCCAGATATTGTTGCAGCTTCTTTAATGTTGCTATAGGCCTCTTGGAAGCCGCCCAGGCCAGTTTTCATCTCATATTTCATCAATTTTGGAGGGATGTCCAGTTCTTGGTAATGTCACTGTTGCGCCATATTTTATCCACTTGATGGTGACTGTTTTCACTGTGCTCCATGGTATATCTAATGCTTTGGAAATTCTTTTCTACCCTTCTCCTGACTGATATCTTTTAACAATGAGATCCCTCCGATGCTTTGAAAGCTCTCTGCAGACCATGGCTTTTGCTGTAGGATGCGACTAAGAAAATGTCAGGAAAGACCTACTAGAACAGCTGAACTTTATTTGGGTTTAATCAGAGGCACTTTAATTGATGGCAGGTGTGTACTGACTCCTATTTGATATGATTTTGAATGTGATTGCTTAATTCTGAACACAGCTACATCCCCTGTTATAAGAGGGTGTGCACCCTTATGCAAATTACATTATTTTAGTTTTTTATGTTTTACCCCCCCCCCCCCCCCCCCCTAAAAGTTCAGTTTGTTTTTCAACTGAGTTGTGCAGTTTATAGGCCACATTAAAGGTAGAATCTGAAATGATTTATCTTTGTCTCAAGAATAGAAAAACACCTGCTGATCTATCAGAAATGCACTCTGCTTATATTTTCCTCATGTGGGCTGACAACACACAGCATCTCTGTGTTGTATGTGCGTTGTCTGCCCTGCTGACTAACTTCATCTTCAAAGCAAAGGAACTTGACTTGTAGTCCCAAGCGAAGAGCTGGGAAGGCTTTGAGATAGCACAGAAACATAGATAATTATTTTTGCAGTGATAAAAACAGACCTAAAATACTAAATGTTTTTGATTGTATATTAAATACATGAAGTTAAAGCAAATAGGAGAAATTCATTGTTTGGTTTTATGTACACTGTTTTTCATTGACTAATAAGAGAACATGCAAATTTTTAAAACCAATTTAGCATTTTTCTTTTTGCAAGCACTGGTTATATGAGCTAAATGTATATGTATGCAAGAGGATGTGCATAACCCATGTTATAGAACAGAAAATTGATTAAACTAATAAAGTCATGCTAAGGGAAGTGTCCAAAAATATATTTTATAAAAGAGTTTGATTGGCACAGATACAAGTTAATTCTCTTGTCCTGATTTTTACTGATTTGCCTTGAAGAATGAAACTATATTCAGAGGAAGAGATTAGAGCTCTAACATACACTACCGTTGAGTTTCTGTGTTCCAGATTTACCCCACACAGCCTACCATCTCCCTATGTGTGTGACTTTCCATCACTGGCAGCACCTGAGTAGTTAGAACTCAGTTCTATAAATGACAAGCAGGGAGGCCTAGGTTACATTTTCTTAGGCTGATATTACTAAATGTAGCATGCTGTCTATTTCAGGCTGAAGAGAGGCTGCCTATTATAAGCCCCATTGGAATTTCCCAAAAGTCAACAGTGTAATGCAAAATATTTATCCCATTATCAAAGTTTCATCTTAAATGCATTTAGCACTCTGTGGAATAGAAAATGCCCTAATACAGTGGTTCTCAACCTGGGGGTCGAACGACCCTTTCACAGGGGTCGCCTAAGACCATTGGAAAACACATATTTCTGATGTGTAAAGAGCAGCTATTGTGTAGAAAGCAGCTACTCTGTTAAAAGCAGCTACTGTGCTGAAAGCAGCAGTATTGGAGGTACAACGACATTTCATGAATTATAATTACTGGGTAAACAATTTTATGGTTGGGGTCACCACAACATGAGGAACTGTATTAAAGGGTCACAGCATTAGGAAGCTTGAGAACCACTGCTCTAATATAAAAACACGGCATGTGTCAGCCTGAGTCCATTAAGAAACATTACTGTGATACCCCATTATGATTTTTTGTATGTAGAAAATAGTTTCTCAATTAAGATGGTAAACCAAAAAGAAAGACAACTTTGGCATTTGGATACACTGATTTTAGATTGTAAGCTCCATGGAGCAGGGCCCGCCTAACTCTCCTGTATTGAACTGTATTGTTGCTGTATTGCCTCCCTTTATTTGTAAAGTGCTGAGCAAACTGTTGGCGCTATATAAATCCTGTATAATAATATAATAATAATAATTCTATGAATTCTTGCAACTAAACTCATTAAACAAACATTTAAGAGCTAAATATTTCTCCACATAACAAACATAAGCTTAAGTGTTCCTTCAGAGAAGGCTGAGTCCTCCGATAGTATCGCTGGCATGAACGCTTAGCATTCTTTAGTGGGTGAGAATACAATTGCTTTTCTGTACAAGTGCAAAACTGTTGAATATCAATCAAAGGAAGAAACTCTTTGAGCCATTTATATCTCTGAACTGTGAGTTTCCTTTATTTGAATTCTAGTGTGCAAGATTGAGATTTTTGTTACACTAACCCTAAGTAACCACCAGAGTTATCCCAACTTCCCCTGCACCCAGACCTTCCCCATAGACAGAGCATTTCCTTAGAACCAGAGTGAGAAATCCTCTGTCTGCCAGCAGATGGCAGCATCAAACTACTGTATGAACCATATATTCCATGGAAAGTGAATGACTGGAAGGACTCCACAACATTTAATTTCTGAGACTATATATACGAGATGTTATATGTTTACATTCTACATTAGGAAAAATTGCGCAAATACAAAAAAAGGAGAAATGGAAGAGTTTCATTGTAACTCACAGGAAAATCCATTGCCAAGATTGAGACGAAACCATAGAAGAGAGGAAATATGTAGTCCAGACAGATCAATTTTAGTTTTCCTGCTCTTAAATTCAAGATCTACTTAAGTAGCACAGATTTCTTTCAAGTCTAGACTAAGGTTTCTTCAATTCAATTTCAATACTAGCTTGAGTACTGGTGCTTCAAGGAACTCTGCCAAATGCACAGAACATCTTGAGGCATTATGGGAATTCATGTATCTGCTGCTCAGGCAGAAATCGCCATGCCATGAAATATGAACAAAGCATATCCCTCTATAGTGTGTACATGTCTCTAACCAGAGCACTAAGTGTCATTTCTGTCTGCTGCTTCCTTCCTTTGTTATCAGCATGAATCACTTCTCTAACAAGTTTTTCTGACACCAAGAGAAAAATGGTGACAGGGGAGGGATGTCCAGCTGATAACCCGTCTCAGCTCTGTTCCTAAGAGCTGTGTGGAGGGGGGGTGTCCCTTCCTTCCAATCAGCTCTCAGAGTTCTCTCCACTAAGCTCTGCAGAGTGTAAGCTCCCAACCCCACTGATTTCCAGAAGCTCAAAAAAGCTGTACAAACTCTGCACTTTGGATGTAGAGAAGAGGATCCTGCAGATGAACAGGTACAACTTATGTAGGAGGATTTGTGTGTCACATGAAGCCAGTCACTTCACTGGGTATTTGTAAGGGTTTACAACCACTTTAAAGCAAGTATTTCCCAAGCAGAATACAATTGTATTTAGAATGTAGTACAGGCACGCCAAAGTGCATGCTCACACTTTTGTCTCGCCTCTTCAGCTCCTCAAACCTGCTGTACTCCAACATGCCAATCTGGCTTGCAGGCTTCCTCAACTCTCCAAGGGTTGTTCCAGTGATGAGCAGCCTCAGGGTGCTGGAAGATGGGGGAAGCCCAGCTTTGGACTAATTTACACTAGTTTACCAAAAAATGATATGCCTTTAAATCACACTTGGCAAAATAGAGAGGGCTGTCATAATAGAGCCCTTCTGATGTTCATTTGAGCCAGTTGATAAATTAACCCAAAAATGACAGCCCACAAAGCCTTGTACCCATTTACAGAATGCTGCAACATGCATGTGCAAACTGAGCTATGAGCACAGACATACAGTGAAAGGCATGAACTGAAGATCCCAACTCTGGTCAACAGGTAGGACAGCACAAACATGCGGCCCACAGCTTCATGTACG